ATCAACAGGAGGGCAGTGACCCTGCCGTGACCCTGTGACAGCGCATCGGGGTCCCCCACCTCCTGCCCCCCCGTAGTGGCACGAACAGACTCCACCAGCCAGTAGAACAGAGCCAGTTTATTGCTTCTCCAGGATACAGCACAGCACAGGTGTCATCTGGTTCCAGGGCAGGCCTAGGATGCCTCAGGCCCCCTTGAGATGGGGGAGACTGGGCCCCTAAATCCCAGCCCCTTCCCTAGGCTGTCTCCTCCATGATCCCAGACAGAAACTCAACTCCCTCACTTCCAGCCCTGCCCCCAGCCAGGGGCGGCATCCCACCTTCCTTTGTCCCTCTCCCTGGGGGGGTAACCGGTCGAACAGGCACCTCCCTGTCCCATCAGCTACTCCGCTGGGCCGTGGTCCAGACAGTAACCAGTGGGGGTCACCCACAGCCCAAGCCCAGCAAACAGCAAGGTACCCCCACTACGGCACACCCGGGGACAAAAGGATCCTGAGGGCGCCTCCATCGCTTCACCCGCCCTCCGCGCCACACGCCCCTTCGCCGGGGACAGAGGCCGGGAAGGATTCCCTGACCCGTCCCGCACCGGACGGACCCAGAGACTGCTCAGCCGGCAGCGTGTCCCCCCCCCCTCAGAGCCTGCGCCGAGCCCTGGGGACGGGGGGATGCGCTTTCCCCAGCCCGCTACCCTCAGCCGCGTCTGCTGTTAATAACCCTTTGGATGCCATAGGCAGGCCCAGCGAGCTCCTTGGGGTGAGATCTGGGGTGTGAATCGCCCTGGGACTGTGGCTGCTCCCTTGGGACTGGGAGAGCCTGTTGGGAGGTGGGGGATGGGCTATAACCTCTCCCCTGTGTGAGGGGGGCTGGGGGGGCACAGGGAGCGCTGGGGGGTCTGAGGGGAGGAGGGGGGTGCGACAGAACCTCTCCCGTGTAAGGTGGGATTGGGGGGGCACAGGGAGCTCTGGGGTGTCTGAGGGGAGGTGGGGGATGGGTTAGAACCTTTCCCGTGTAAGGTG